TAGCACAGCACCCAGGGAATGACTTGTTTATGGCTTTTTTTTCCTTTGTTTCTTGCTTGCCCCTGTGTGCTACAGATAACATTTCGCTTCTTGGCTCTGTAAGCTGCTTCTTGCTTTCGCGCCAGAAGTAACAGTCTAAGTGACAGACTGCCCCTGACCCTATATAAGCAATTGTTCCCTGCTGATCGGGCCCAGAATTTGGAGACTGCCTCCTCTGGGTCCGCATGTATAGTAAAGGTTCCACTTCGCTTCCTTCAGTATTCGGTCCGAGTCTTTCCGTAACACTCTGAATTACTATTCCCTGACTCGGTTAGCTCAATCTACTGCTAGTCATTAAGAACACTGGCCTTGTTATCAAACAGAGGTGAGTTGGAGTCCCTATTCTGCTACTTGGCAGGAGAGTGGCTTTGGGCAAATCGTATTTTCTAAATCCTATATTTTTCATTTGTGAAGTGAGGATCATAAAGCCCACCTGGAAGAACTGTTCTAGGGATTAAATTACAACAGCAGATGCAATGTGCTTGGCTCAGAGTAGATATTAAATAAATTGCTAGTGATTATTTCCCCCAGGCAATTGTAAGACTGGGAGATCTAGCCCCTCGTTCAAGATTTCCCTCCTGATATACAGATATTGCCTCCCCTCAATTATATTCAAACTATCTTGTCCCATAAACATGCAAGCCTCTAATACCAAATTCCTGTCCATACTCGCCAAACCAACAGTCTTCTAGAGAAAAGGGAGAGAGAACAGTTCCTTCCCTCAAGGTCCCTCATCAGCTCCAACAATGTCCTAGTCTTAAGGTACACTTGCAAATGTCCTCAGAGCATTTGCTAAGGCCACCACTCACCTCCCCACACCCTCTTGGGAGCCAGTCCTGGGGGCGGGACCACCTGGAGTCTTCACAAAGTCCCTGAGCTGAAATGTCTGAATTCCACCACATACCACCTTGCCACTAAAACCCAGGAATGTCTGTTCAGTACTGACCACTCCCCTACCCCCAACTATTTACAGGAAATTTATAATTCACAATCACTTGGAATAGAACTCACTGCAATACAGCACCTGGTATCTGGCAGAAAGTTTTGGAATAAATCATCGACCAGCAGTTAAAGCTCCACCTATTAAAGTCTTCTGGCCTGCTTTAAACATACCTCTTCCATGTTGTCCTATCAGTCAGAACTGGTTTCCTCTTCCTTTCTTCTGCATTCTTACAATACCTATCTTTATTGAAAGCTTATGTGTCTTTCCTAGGTCATGCAGTCAATAATTGGCAAATCTAGACTCCAACTATACAAGTTAAACAGTGTCCTCCCAAAATTCATGTCTACTGAACCTTGGAATGTTGACCTTATTTGGTCAACCTTATTTGAGCAAACTAAGATAAAGTCTTACTGGATTAGAGTGGTCCCTAAATCCAATGACCAGTGTCCTTATGAGAAGAAATTTGGAAGCAGAGACATAGGAGGAAAACAGGAAAGAAGGCCACATAAACATGGGCGCAGAGACTGGAGGCAGAGATTGGAGTTAGGCTGCCACAACAACAGAATACCAAGGGTTGCTGGCAACCACCCCACGCAAGCAAGAGATAAGAAGATTCTTCCCTAGAGCCTTTGGGGGGAGCATGGCCCTGCCAATATTGGCCTTCCAGACTCCAGAACTGTGAAAGGATACATTTTTGTTGTTTTAAGCCTGCCCACTTTGTGGTAATTTATTACGGCAACCCTAGAAAACTATTATTGTACCAGCCTAGGTCTGTCAAGTGCCAAACATCCTCATCTTAACCACTATGATATGCTGCCTTATGTGTGCAGCACCTAAACTGTCCTTCAACTGTACATTAATCAAGTGCCTCGTATTTCACAGTAGGAGGCAGATGGTACATTTAGAAGTTGCAGAGGGGTAGGGTGGAGGGGATGAGGAGGAGGTAGAATTATGGTAAGGTCGAGAATGGGAAGGACTACTTTCTTGAAAATATGCCCAACCTTCATTATAGTCTGAATGTGTGATTTAGAAGAGAAAGGGAAATGATTTTGCTTACTAAGGAAGTATGATATGCTAGAAGAAAAGAAGGAACTACAATGCCGACCATGAACTAGTTCTGTGATAGGTACATGCCATTCAGGCATAGCTGCTTCAGCACAATTTGACTTGAGAACATTAAGACATAGCCTCAAAAACAAACTATTAAACTTTCAGCGGTTAAAAATACCTAAGCTCCTTACTCAGCTGTGCCTCATTCATAACTCCCATTATGACACAGAGCAAACACAACTTTTTAGTTGAATAAATGAATAAGAATATAAATACTGAAGATGGAAGAAAGTTAGAGGTGTCAGAAATGACATGGTCATTTTCCTGGTGGTCAACAACCAGGAAAATCAGATGTAATGTAAGCATCACAAAAGAAGGCTGAAGAACCACAGATATCTGCTACTGACATTTGGTAGTCAAAAGCCATAAGAGAAGCAAATGCAGCAAAATATCAATATTTGTTAAATCTTAGTAATGAACATAGGGTGTTTGTAATGTTATTCTTTATAGTTTGGTGTGTTTTTAATGTTTCATTTTAAAAATAACAGTAATTGATCAGCAACATCACAATTGCTGGACCAAAATGGGTCTGTCAAATTGACATTGTTGAAATCACTCTACCTTGATGGGTTCTGAATCCCCTACTTCATCAGCAGAACTGGTATAGTTATAGCAAAACACAGTTCATTGCTACACATGAATGGGCCAATACTTTGGGTGGAACCTATGGAAATATGTTTATGAAAGGACAAAAAATAAGCATTTCCTTGGGGATCTATATGCCTACTCTTGGAAGTTTATGCAAAGAAAACAATAATTCAAAAGAAAAAAAGATGGGAAATATGGAGGTGAAAATGTGAAGAACAAATGTTTTATAACAATAAAAAAATGGGAATTACAAGGTAATCATGGAGAACTGTTCACCACTGCCCCCACTCTAATCACAGCATGCTCAGCTTTGCCAGGCTCACTGTGGTAGCCTCCCACTGGTCTCTCCGTTTCTGCCCTTACACCTACAATCTACTCTCTCTACTTAGCAGCCAGAGTGATCTTTTTGAAAGGAAATGAAATCACTTCCCCACTTCTCACCACCCTCACAGCTATAAACCCAGTTCTGAGGCATCAAGTCCTAGGGCCTGAATTATGGAAATAGCTCCCTAACTGATCTTCCCTGTTCCATCCTCCTTCCTTCAAGGCAAGTGTAAGATCTCCTTTTCAAATCATAAATCGGATCCTGTCACTCTTCTGCTCAGAATCTTCCAGCGGCTTCCTGCCTGACTCAGAGTGAGCTCATATGACTCAGAATAATGTCAGAGTAAACTTGTATGTTGGCACAAGGACCTCCTACCCTTCCCAGTCACACTGAACCCTTTGCATTGACTTTTCTCTCTACTCATATGTTCTTTCTCCGTATGTCCACATGGCTCATCCTCTCACTTTTCTCAAGTACTAATGCAAATCTCCCCTTTTCACAGAGGTCTTCATTAACCACTGTATTTTATTTTTTGGTTATAAGTAAATAACATTTATAATCTTATACCTATTTTCTTATTCAATATTTTTCAGAATTTATAATTCATAACCACTGTATTTTACATTTTACCACGTCATAAAGCCTCATCGTACTTCCCTGTTTTATAGTTTCTTTGTGCTTATCATCTTCTAACATAATAAATCATTTACATAACATTTTTAAATGTCTATCTGCCCTGCCCCAAACACACATACACTAGAATTTAAACTCCAGAAGGAAAAGAAAATACATCTATTTTGCTCACAGCTGTTTTCTCAAGTACCTAGAACAATGTCTGGCACTTAGTTGACATTTAGTAAATATGCATATTTGTAAAATGAAAGAACAGATAGTTAAGTAAGTTGGGTAAAACCAAGATGATGGAAGATTAAGCAATCAGAAAAAATACAGTGTATGAATGTGGAAAAAGACATATGGCATTAAGTTAAAGTTAAAAGCAGAATCCCTGTGTTGTGATCAAAACTACCTTGGTGTGTCTTTGGCAGCATTTTTCTTTTCTGGTTCTTTTGCTTTCTCTTTCCTTAAATGTTGGGGTTCTGAAGTTTGTTTTTAGTTTTCTTGTTATTTTTATCTACCCTTGTAGCTTCAAATACCCTCTAGTCCATTTCTAGTTTAGTTAGCATATTGTCCAAACAATGGTTGGACCCAGAACTGTTTTGAGAGTCACCCCTATTACTCACGTTACTTTGTTTACAGTGGTATTAGAATAACATTCTGAGACTAGCTGTCTATTCCTCAGTATCCCGCAGTAAAATGCAGGATAAGATGCCTAGTACATACTAGTAATAAATGTTTAATACAAGATCATAAATAATAAATTAGATGCCAACTGTGTGCCAAGTACCTCTAAGAAACTTAACTTTTATCCTATTTAATTTTCACTGCAGCCCTACTAAGGTAGACGTAATAGCTTCATTATACAGGTGGAAAAGGAAATACGTTTATAATGAACAGTAACCAAAATACATGCAAACGTTAAATTAGGTGTTAAAGCGGCGGGATTGTAGGTGGTTTTTCTTTTAAAAAAAATGTCTTTAGTATTGTGGTTAGGCTGCGTGTGTACATTTGCATGCATGTCAGCGTGTGACCAAATAATTTAAAAACTTGAGTTGGAAAACACATCAGGGAATTGTAGGGCAGGGTCAGGGAAAAGGGAGGAACGCAAAGGCTACAGTCAGCCGAGAACAGACTCCACCAGTGAGCAGTCTGCGAGGGCGGGGAGTGCCTACGTTCTTTGTAGCTACGGGTTCCACCCACGGAAACGATTCCTTTCCGGGAGGCCTACCCAGCCACAAGCAAAAAAAAAAAAAAAAAAAAACCTGAGGGAGTGGGCGGGACCACTCCTGAAAGGCTTCAGCTGGAGGGGCGGGACAGGATTGGCCCGTGGGCTGGCACCGATTGGCTGCCGCAGAGAAGGGGCGGGCTCTGCCTGTGGCCCAGCCTCACCGAGGGAAGGCACCCGCACCGGACCTTGTAGGCTAGGGAAGGAGTGTGGGTTCCGAGGGCCCCGTCGGACACTTAAGTTTGCACGGTTGTTGCCCTACTGGCAGGGCCGGAAGCAGTTTGACGCCCGCACTCCTCTGTTTTCGAAGGGGTAACGCTCTTCCGATCTGGACTCGGCTTCTCACCCCTCCCCCCGAGGCCGAAGCCCCCAGCTTAGGTGGGGCAGCGCAGCCAGAGCTCCTGAACCCGGAAGAAGCGCCATCCGCCGCCTTCATGGAGCCCACCGCGCTGTCCCTCACCGAGGAGGACCTGACCGAAGTGAAGAAGGACGTGAGTAGCGCTGTTTTGCCCAGGAGCCCTGCGGGCTGGGGGCGGGCAAGGAACCCGGAAACTCGGGGTCCGAATGGGGATCAGAGGAGGTGCCTGCGGGCGGGAGGAGCGGACAGGGTCTCAGTGAGCCCAGCATCGGAGGGTTCTTAGTGTAAGTAATCCCCCGGCGATTTGTTAATCCGCGTTTTAAATCGCTAAAAGCAGGACTTGGGTGTCTGAAACCTTTTTGGGTGGGGCGTCTCTTCGCAGTCTGCTTCTTGCCCACTCTTCACCTACCCCCTGGTGATTAAAGCCCCTCCCCCTGCGCTTTGGACCCGCGTTGTTAGGGACAGATGGCTCGCGTTCTCTCTTTAGCTTGACTCCCCAGGCTGGTTTTACCAGGAGCAAAAGCTGAACCAGATAAAGTATCCCAAACAGTGGAGTAAATATGTAAAACTCTTACAGAGGGGGTTGGGGGAAGCTCAGCAGCTGAAAGCACAACCTGGAATTCCCCGAGCAAGCTAACGCCCACATATTTAAATTGAGGGGAGGGGGGTGAATACCTGTAGCCGAGAATACTTTACAAGCAAACGTTGGAAATATTCAGTAGTTAAATTTTGTTCTTCTGCTTGGATGCTGCAGAAAATCTAACACTTATTCATTAACGGTGGCTTTGTTGAGATATGACTTGTTTCTCTTTTTCTTATGCCTTTAGTTGTTTTGCTGTTTGAGACTTATATGAATGCCTGCCACTAAGAGAACTTATATCAATTCAAATTAAAAATATAAACATGAAGTGCTCTCTGGCTTAACAACACATAACTTACAAAGTCATCTTTGTAACCTGGACAAGACAACGGCTTTTTAAATGTTCATCTACTTCAAATTTCCTCTTTTTCTCTCTCTTGTAATGTTTATTATGTTATACTCATGATTACGGTTAGAATTCCGTAGCAGAAAGAAATTGGACATGATTGGGACTTACTTGTGCCTTAGTTTTCTCATTCAGCAGATATGTAGGGGACACTTACTGTGTGGAAAGTACTGTCATCTGGCCTGGATCGGACTCACGCAAAAAATAACAGTCAGGCCCCTGCTTTATAAACAGGTTGAGAAAAGGCTGGAACGTTGATAATTAATATGTAATAAATGAGTGCTGTCTTATTCAAGATGTGTGCCAGTAAAACCATGAACTTGAAGCACTAGGCTTGCTATGTTCCAGATGCTGTGTGACACAGTTTACAATGTTCCCGTTTCATCTTTACAACAAACTGTGAGATCATCGTCGTTCCCATTTCATAGCTGGTAAAATAGGCAATGTGAGGTCACAAGTGGGAAGATATAAAGCCCGTACACAAACACAGATGTGAAGAGTGGCTTCTGGGCCTTATTTTTTCCTATGAGATTGTTGATGCTATCCATCTCCATAATTTCATTTTATAGCCATATCAGAAATTCATAACCTTGGGGAATCACAGTTGGATTTCAGGAAGTCTATGAAAAAAAGTATGTGCACATATTTTTCTTAGAAATTTTTGTCATGGTATTTTCAAAATGGTTTATGACCTTAGAAGGTTTTTAAATTATCACCCATGTATTTGAACTTCCTTCTCTCTCAACTATAGGCACTTATTTCCAAATATCTGCTGGAAATCCACTTTTATATCCTGCAGATTCCTCCCCTTGTCTAAAATGAACTTTTTATCATCCCTCCCCCCAAGGCCCCTTGCTATTCCTGCTGTGTTCTCTGTCTTGAATAGTATACCACTACCCATTGTCCTTCACTGTACTCCTCCCTCCCTTCTGCACCATCTAGTTTACTTTGTCTTTTTGGTTGAATTTAGTTCATTTTTATGAATATGGATTACATGCTGCTGTGAGGCTGATGAGTGCAGTTGAATCTCATAGTTCAAAAATCTAAAATTAAGACACAATCCTAGTTTGAAAAAAAGCTTGATTTCTTAGGAAGAGGGAGATAGACCTAAAATGATAATATCAAGTTACAAAATATATTCATCCAAAAGACTGTGTACTTAGCATTCTACTAAGTTCAGGATACACAGTCGAACAAAACATACCTGGTTCTTGCCTACTTCAAACATGTAGATCATTAGGTTTGAAAACAAATAAATGTATAATTACTAATTATGGTAAATACTATTAAGGAGACAAACAGATGTTGAGGCAATAACGGGGGAATCTACTTGAAATAGGATGGTCAGGGAAGGTTACATTTAAAGTGGTTCCAGCCTGGCCAGTGCCTCAAGTTAGTTGGAGCATCATTCCCTATACCAAAAGGTCGTGGGTCCAGTCCAGTCAGGGCACATACCTAGGATGAGGTTTGATCCCCAGTCAGGGTGCATATGGAAGACAACCAGTTAATGTTTCTCTCTCACACAGGTGTTTTTCTCTACCTCCTTTCCTCCCTTCCTATTCCCCTGTCTCTAAAAATAAACATATCCTCAGGTGAGGATTTTTAAAAAGGTAAAAAAAAATAATGTGGTTCCTAAAGGATGTGATAGGACTGGGGGAAGAACATTCTAGGCAGAATAGAATTTGCAAAGGACCTAAGCAGGCAACACTTGGGTGACTTGGGAAAACTGGAAGAAGGCAGAGGGTACCCTGAAGTGAAGTTAAGAAGGTGGGTTAGAACCAGATTACAAAGGGTCTTATAATTGTAGTAAAGTGTTTGGATTTTCTTTTCCCCAAGTGTAGTAGGGACCTGCACACTTGGGGAAAACTAATGACATTTTTAAAAGATCCCTTTGCCTATTGCATAGACTGAGGAGAGCAAAGTGAAAAGAGGAAAACCAGTGAAGAGACTCTTCGAATATATATAGGTGAGAGATGATGTCATTTGGATCAGGGCAAAGGCAGTGGAAATGGTTGAAGCAAGAGAATTCCACATTCATTTTTGAAGCAGAACTGATAGGCCATGGTGATAGATTGATAAGAGTTGAAGAAGAGAGTGGAATGAGATTAGTAAGTGGAAGTGTCAAATCATCAACTTGACCTACAAGTCTGAAGATCAGAAGACAGATCTGACAGCTGGGGACATAGGGGAGGGGGCGCTTAGGGGGTGGAGGGGTCAGGGGAAAAAGGACTCATGGACACGGACAACAGTGTGGTGATTGCAGTGGGAAGCGAGTATAAGGGGCACAAATAGTAATCGGGGGGAAAAACATAAGAAATAAATTATTAAAAAGATGAGAGAGATCTAAGCTGGAAATACAAGTGTGCAATTGAATGAGTTCATCTAGGAAGTTGGGAGCTAGAAGGGAAGAGGGAGATCATAGAAGAGTTTTGAAAAGTGAGAAGTTAAGCCATAGAAATGGGAAGCAAGCCAGGAGATGCATGTTAGACAAGAAAAGAGTATTTCCAGGAAGTAGTGGTCAACTGTGTCCATGCTGCTTAGAAGTAAGGTGACTGAAAATGATCAGATGTAGCATGAAGAAGGTCATTGGTGACCTTGAGAAGAATGGTGGGACATAATGGAAATGCCTGGGAATGAACTGGGAGATGGAAAGTAGAGTCCTGCTGTATTGAAAAATGGAGTGTATACACAGGGTACTGCACAGGTAGAGGGGAGGGTACCTAACTAATTCTGGGGAGTTTAGGTAAAGCTTCCTGAAGGAGATGACCACTGTCCTGGATCTTAAAGGATGAATAGCAACTTGGAGTATAGAGAAGAGAAAATAAGACAGAAGTAACAACGGAAAGAAATACAGAGTGACGAACAGCAGTTTGAGGTACAACATAAAGTACTAGGACCAGTGGAGGTGGTGATGGATTAAACTACAGAGGTAGGTAGGATCCATACTATGAAGCACCCTGTCCACTATTATCAAATATCATTCATTGAGCACTTACTGTGTATCAGACTATATCAGGTCGTTACATGCACTGTCCCATTTAGTTCTAGAAGTCCTCCAAAGTAATATTATTATTTTATCAATAAGGAGCAGGAAGTATAGAGATAAGTAACTTACCCCAGCTGTTGCAGAAGTACATGGCAGATTCAAGATTTGAATTGAGGTGGTTCGGAGACCAGAGTCATGCTCTTGATTTCTCTACTCTTCTGCTCTTATTTGATTGAGGAATTATATCCTTTTAAGTCAAGGGTGGAATCGTGTTTTAAATTTTGAAAAAATCAACGGATGGCATTTTAATATTAGACTTTTTATAATACTCCATATTTCCATTTTCTCTTGAAAAATTGTAAGATCTGATAGATGTGTAAAGGAGAAATTTGAGGGGGAGGAGAGAAGTAGGAAGCCCATTGTGAATAGTCCATGCAACATATCATAAGGACCTGAACTGGAGTAATACTGATAATAGAGATGAAGTGAAGGGGCAGGTTAGGTCAAACATAAGGGGTAGAGTGGCATGTCTTGATGGGTGGTGATCGGAGGTGGAATGTGAGTAAAAGAGAAAGGGTCGAGGATCAGTTGTGGATTTATAGCATTATTGGATGCTGGTACTCTTAAATGAGAACATCAAAGGAAAAGAAGAAAGGAAATAAATTTGGTTTTGGACATGTTGAATTTGAAGTACCTTTGGGATATCTAGGTGGAAAGTCTTGATCACACACACAAATTTGGGAATCATTAGCATATAGGTTGTGGAAATGACAACAGATTAGGTTTTTCAAGTTCAAAGTTCATTTTATAGCTTGTCCCTAAATCCTCACAGCTTAAATTTATACACTCACCGTATCTTATATAAGATTTTGCAGCAATCTTCTAATTGGTTTCTTTTCACCCCATTTTTTGCCCCCCCTTCTCTACAAAAGTTTTCTTAATTGCTTATTTGTAAACCTTGGATGATTCTTTTGGTTACAGGGAAATGTGTGTTCCTCGACATGTTATAAAAATTCTCCCATGATTCCACCCCAATTTTCCTTCCTAGCCACATTCCTCACCACCCTGTCATATGCAGCCTGCGTTCCAACTACCCCAGAATGCTCAGCATTTCCCCACGTGCACCTTCATGTCTCTAGTAAAAGTGTAGCCTCTGAATTCCCCAGGCATTGGAAGTAGTCAGTTGCTCACTCTGTGCTTCCCCAGTACTTGGCCAATTGTCTTTTTTGTCTGGGTAATATCACATCATCTTACAGTTATTGGTTTGTATGTGATATGTACTCTCTACTTACACCATGTGCCCTTCGCATGAAGGATTCAGGTCTTACTGATCTTTGCATGCTCCACTCTTGTTATATTATGTATTTAGATATTTGAAATGTTGGTTGTATGAATATATAAATAAATGAATGTGGGGGTTCAGTGGACTGTGAACTATAAGAACCCTTCACCTTCACCTTCACCTAGCCCGCTTTCCTGCCAGCATATACTAGGGTATTTCTAAGATTTGCCATTGCCTTTTTATTCATAATGATAAATGTGAGTCAAATTATTTATCATTGTGATTGTCACTAACATTTATTGATCACTTACTGTGTGCCAGGTACTTTTCTAAGAACTTTACATGAATTTATTCCTCATAATACTTACATGAGGGAACTGAGGTATGTAGGAGTTAAGTTACTTACCCATGATAATGTGTAGTAAGTGGAGGGACTGGAATAGTCATTGGCATCAGACTATTAATGCCATTTATTAGGACCCATGTCATTATTTTGTTATGCAAGTCCCCTTAGCTCTTCTCAGATATAGGCCTGTTTTCTGTGATTTGCTGTTCTTTGTTTCTTTAATATCTTCCAACATTTCACCATACCTTTAGGTTTCTTCCCCCTACATTTTTCTACCTTCCTTCTACTAACTGACTCAGTGAGTTACAGTCTTTCTGACTGACTCCAAAGATAGACACATTATGGGCCCTTTTAGGTTAGTGGGAGGGGAGGTTCTAATGGTTTTACTCTAGGAAGATGGATAATTAACAAACATGTGAGTGAGTTACAAGCTATGAGACCTCTCACCAAGTTATTGACTGTGATCCTAACTAATCCTGGATGCCATGATAAATAGTAACTAAAATGAATGGAAGCCTCTACCCTCATCTTTACCCCCAAAGGTGTCCCTCTGCAGACCTCCCTGTTTCCACAGAAGTTGAATGGCCCCTCTAGATTACAGTGGCCCCTCTTCACAATAGTCTGGTGTTTGTTTATAGGTGTGAAAATGAGATCAGAGCAGGACAGAAGATGTGAGGGATTTCTAATCTAGGACTTTTTTTTTTAATCCTCAAGGACATGCTTATTGATCTTAGTAAGAGGGGAAGGGATGGAGAGAGAGGGAGACAAACATCACATGACAAGAAAATCAATTCCTTGCCTCTCCTACGTGCTCTGACCACACCCACAGCCTTTGGGTTTACAGGACAATGCTCCAACCAACTGGGCTACTTGGGCCGGGGCTAGTCTAGGATCTACCTTTGTCTACTTGGACCTTTATCTTAATCGCATGCATTTTTAGGAGCCTGAGCCTCATGACTTCAGGATGTTTTTCCCACCAGTTAAGATTCCTAATCAGTCACCTGCATAATTTCCTGAGGTGTCAAAAAAAAGTAACATTGAAGCACATTTTATGTTTTTCAGGCTTTAGAAAATTTGCGTGTATATCTGTGTGAAAAAATCATAGCTGAGAGACATTTTGATCATCTTCGTGCAAAAAAAATACTCAGTAGGGAAGACACTGAAGAAATTTCTTGCCGAACGTCAAGTAGAAAAAGGGCTGGAAAGCTATTAGATTACTTGCAAGAAAACCCCAAAGGACTAGATACCCTTGTTGAGTCCATTCGGCGAGAAAAAACGCAGAATTTCCTGATACAGAAGATTACAGACGAAGTGCTGAAACTTCGAAATATAAAACTAGAACATCTAAAAGGTAAGTATGTTAGGATATGCGAGTTCATTTAAATGTAACAATGCTTCTAAAAAGTAAAATTAAATGAACAGTAAAACTCCAAAATGATCATTTTGCATTTATTCAAAAATTTAAGCTTCAAAATTGCATTCATTTACATTTTTAACCCTATAGGGTGTCTTTACATTGGAAAAGTGGAATATCACTTAATGTTCTGTATTTATATTCATTTAACAATATCATTTCTAGAAAATTTAACTGTAATAAAGTCCCAGGCTATTCAGTGGTTTCTTTCTAACATCAGCAGAATGTCAGGTAAATCTATTCAAAAGTAACCCCTGAAAATGCACTTAACACATAAAGAATAGTATGTAGGCAAAGTATTTTAGTAAGTCCAGCTCTGTTGGTTTTTCTTCTACCAGTTGATCTAAGATGAAGTAGTTGGCTGTGTTGATAAGAATTATGTTACATAAATTTTACGTAACTTTTAGCACTAGAATCAAACTCAGTGTGGCAAAATGAGAGAGTCATGAGAACTGAGACTGATGAAGGGAATAGCAAATTCACCTCTCCTGTTTCGTTTTCACCCTAGAGCACACACACTCACTGCTTGGAATGCTGTGTAGACTTGCCTATACCATTTAAATCCCCTGCCCCCGCTTCCGGCAAACTCTTATCTCACCGTCTCTCTCTCTCTCTCTCTCTCTTCAGAGCACTTAATGTGAATGTGACATGGTTTGGTTCCAACTGTTCTAGGCGCTGGGGATACAGAAATGAGTAATGTAGGGCTCTGCCCTTAAGTACATCACAGTCTCTAACACATTGGAAGTGTCCCCTTTTGAACCATATTTAAGAAAATAGTTTCTGTAGCATGGAATAAATCCCAAATGTATTGTGAACTTGAAAAACTAGTGGGAAAAAATGACATAAATGTACTTCATACACTTTGCAGGTTTTACATAAAATTTCTCGACTCTGAAGGTTCTGTGCCTATCAATAGTTACGGGTAGAATATTTGCTAAGCCTAACAGAAAGATAAATTGTGTCTGTGTTTATTCTTTCTACACTTCGGTTAATTATAGCTACATTCTTTAGATATGGTAAAATCCTTACAGCAGAACAACCACCATTTAAGTATATTGTTTGGTTGAGAACCAGGACATTACTTAGTGGGAGGAGGAGGCCTGGAATCTTGTTCTCTCTTTCCATGAAGTGGTCCTAGAATGGTGGGCGTGACTTAACTGTTCCGGGCCTGAGTGATAGTTTGTGTGTGTTCCAGTATGCTAAAGAATGTTAGTAATGACAGCCATTTCTTACTTTATGAAAGATTTTAGGCTACTTTATTTTTCCCAAGTCTTTTAATGGTTAAGTATATAAATATGCAAATTAAGTTTATAGCATGTCATTTAGCTTACTTGAGACTATTTCCTTATCTAGAAAATGTAAATAATAGTATGCATTTCATAGTTGTTGGGAAGAGCAAATCAAATATGAAATAGGTTATGACAGTTTATAAATTGCTATTTAAATTTTGTTTGTGTGGTAGCTTTTAATCTTTAAAAAGTGACAGGATGGCATGCACTCAATTTTTTTGTTACTTTTTTGTTGACATCTATATAATTTCATTGTAGGACTAAAATGTAGCAGCTGTGAGCCTTTTCCAGATGGAGCCACAAACAGCATCTCTCGATCAAATTCAGATGAGAGTAATTTCTCTGAAAAACGGAGAGCATCCACTATCATGTACCATCCAGAAGGCGAATCCAGCACAGCTCCCTTTTTTTCTACTGATTCATCTCTGAATTTGCCTGTTCTAGAAGTAGGCAAAGCTGAAAATCCCACCTTCTCTTCAACTACACTTCCCAGACCTGGGGACCCTGGGGCTCCTCCTCTGCCCCCAGAACTGCAGTTAGAAGGAACTTGTGGAAACTCTGGTGAGATGTTTCTCCCCCTAAGATCGCGTGCTCTTTCACGGCAATGACAGTTCACAGCCTTTTAATGTTTTTAGTAATGACTAATATTTGAAAATATATGAATCTTTTTACAAAACTGCTGTAATGACTTATTAACACCAATACACGTCTTTTAAAATGCAAGGTAAGCACACTTTGTAAATAGACTCTTCTGAGGAAAAAGAAGCGTATTTTTAGATAGCTAAAGTAAATCATGTGGATCATGTACTTTTCAGAATTTTGTATTTTTTTAATGGTTTATTTTTTATTATATTTTTTCCCATTACCATTTATCCCCCTAATACCTTCTTTGAGGTATTTAGTGTTTTCACATTTTTTATGTTTTGAGACCAATTTTAATAGGGAACATTTCTCTATTTAATAATGGAGTCTTAGACTGGGAGTGATGTTGTTTCTCAGTGCATTTATGCTGGGAATTTTCACAGTCTAACAGTCCTTTCCATCCATCCAACAGTAAATTTTCAGTATTAAGCCATTTGTAATTGCTAATAAAGCCAATTACTGATGGGGAAAAAATACCAGTATGCCAAAAAAAAACCTCTTTCCTGCTCAGTTTGGCTTACAGACACTTACAGAGTCCCCTTCTGATGCAGAAGAACATCTGACTAGTTTGAGCTACCTAAGGTCTCAATTAGCCAAAATACATTTATTAACCTTACTAATTCATGCCACTTTCTTGAGATTTTCACATTCTTTAGCATTTTCATTCCAAAAGACAAATCTTTACAAAAACCCATTATTACCTGTAATTTGGTGAAATTCTTAAAAATATTTTTTCTGTACTTTCTACTCTCTTTTACTGAGGACCACTGTACAAGTTTTAAAAACTGGCACGAGGTGTTCTTTTCTATGTGGGTATGTGACAGTCTGTTTTATATAATGTTTGGAACAAGCAGGCCATTAGTTTGATTTGACTTTTTGTTATATCACAAAGTGTGACTAAATTTATGCATTTATAAATTAGGTGCCCATTGTGTTCATTTAAAGTATAATTCTCTGTATTTCCTGATATCCCTCAAAAATATTTCCATTACTTAAAGCAGAGATGGAAACATGCTATTAACAATAAAAATGTTTGAATTGTTGTGCTGTTTTGGAAGTTTCAAACTTTTTAATAGGAAGTAAATATCTAGAATACTTATTTTATATGTACTAATTTTTATAGAAGATATTTCAAGTGTGAGATCAAGTTGCATTTCTGGATAAACCAGTGAGGCAATCAATCCTGAAGAAGATTGGCATATTGGTTTTAAAGACTGGATAATTTTTCTAATGTAAACATCTTCTAAGGATTATGGAGAAACATGTTTCACATCTAGTGTAGCATAAGAATATAATGGTATTACATTTAAAGATCTTATTTTTAGAGATAGGTGTAGGGAGGCAGAAAGAGAGGGAGTGAAACATCAATCAGTTGCCTCTCCTGCGCCCCAACCAGGACTCGGCCACAGCCCAGGCTTATGCCCTGACTTCTCAGTTTACAAGATGATGTTCAACCAACTGAGCATGCGTAGCATTACATTTAAAGAAATCTTTTTTAAAAGCAAAAGCAGGCTTTTCACTAATTAAAACAATTTAATATGCAGTTATTGTTTTAAATAGGATCTACTCAGACCATAATGTTAGATAGGTTAGAGGACCTATATTTATAGTTAATAACACTTCATTTTCTTTCAGATTGTTGAATACCTATATAGACAATAAAATGAAGATTTTAACAAATTGAGGCTTTTGGGTTTTCTGAATCCTATAAAGTTTTTTAAATACTGAAAACCAACCATCGCCAACAAATGTTTAACTTTGAATGATTGACATGATACAGTGCAACTGGTGACTAGGCTAATGAGTGCAGCAGTGAAAAAGTTACTTTTCACAGATACCGCGTTATCACTTAGTCCAAAACATCTTTGAGCTCAGGTTTGTATTGCTTCTTTGGAAAACTAACAGACTTTATTTTTTAGAGCAGTTTTAGGTTTATAGAAAACTTAAGCAGAAAGGACAGATTTCCTGTATGTTCCCTCTTGTCCTGTTTCCCACATTAACATCTCTAATTAGTATGATACATTTATTAGAATTGATGGACCAGTCTTGATACATTACTATTGACTAAAGTTAATAGTCTTTGTTACAGCTCATTCAGTGTTGTGTAATTCTGTAAGTTTTGACAAATGCGTGTGTCATGTATTCACTATTATAAAATACCATACAGAACAATCTCACTGCTCTAAAAATCCCGTATTCCACTTACTCATTCCTTCGTTTTTCCTCCCCTTCCTATTTGGTAACCACTGATTTTTTTAAATTGTCTCTCTAGTTTTATTGTTTCCAGAATGTCATGTAGTTGGAATCATACAGTATATAGTCTTTTCAAATTGGATTCTTTTACTTAACAGTATGCATTTAAGATTCGTCCATGTCTTTTCATGGTGAGCTCACGTTTGCAAGAGGTAATTTCATCTTTGTCAACATGTTACTCTTAATGTAGTGACATGCATAGCTGCTGTCTTTTTACCTAAGCGACGTAAAAAGGAGCAGGAAGTTTTAGGCTATGGCCTTATCTTGTGTCTTGTGTATATATTAGATAAATATGTACACTGTTAACTGAAAAAAAGCACACCAAGAAGCAAATCAATCCATAGTTGTTAAATGTAAACTGAGGAGGGCTTTTTGGAAGGAGAGCTGAAATTAAGCACAAAAATACATAAAATAACTTGAGTGCTCCTCCTAAAATCCTTACCTTGAATTTACCATACTGTTTATTAGACAGTTGTTCTTTGTTACAGTGGTTCCTAAACTTTGCCGCACAGTTTAGAATCACCTGGAGGGCTTTTAAAGATCCTGATGCCCGGGATGTACCCCATACCAATGAAATCAGAATGTCTGGGTGTGGAAGGCAGACATAAGTTTGTAAAGATTTCTGGGTGATTCCAGTGTGCAACAGTATGTGGAAACCACAGCCATATTGTGTGCCAAATAACTGCTCAGAGTTTCCACATGTATGGTCTTATTTATATTTTTAATAACATTTTTGCACTGTAGGTTTTATTTTCAGCTTTTTTAACAGGTGAGAAACAAGCAGAATAAAGCAAATGACTCAAAATCACATAGCTCATTAGCATTAAAATTCAGGGCTGTATAACTCTTAAGATCGATGTTCTTTCCAGGACTCTGTGCTTTCTATTTATTTCTTAAATAGCAAAAGGGTAAGTGGAGATTTTCTATATATGTTATTTATTGAATACCTATTATTCTAGGTGCTGGAGATACAATGATAAAGTCTATGTTCTTGTGGAACTCACATTTATATAAATAAACCAGGAAAACCAGATCGTTCTAGTTACACAAAATAGTGCATGTCTGAGCTAAAAAGTGACTTGGAAAGAGTATTGATAACATTGGGAAGGAAGTCCTCTCAGGACAGGTAACATTTGAGCTGAGATCTAAATAATAAGAAAGAAGGAGCCAGTTACATGAAGTTCTTGGGCTTCAGGCAGAAGTAACATCCATGAGGCAGGAATGAGTTACTGAGGATCACAGGTCTGTGTGGCTGGAACAGAAGTATGAGGGGTGAGTGCAGGGAATTTAAGAGCCTGGTTTGACTTGAGGTTTCGTAAATAGCAAGGACCAAATACGGAAGGGCTTATAGACCCTTGTAAGAAGTTTGGAGTTTCTTCCAAGGTGGGAAACAATTGGAAAGGTTCAAACAAGGGAGTGATACAGTTTGATTTGCATTTTAATAGTTCAGTGTGACTCTGACTGGTATGGCTCAGTTGGTTGGGTGTCATCCCACAAACTGAAAGGTCATGAGTTTGATTCCCAACCAGGGCACATACCTGGATTGCAGGTTCAGTCCCCAGTGGGAACAAGTATGGAAGACAACCAATCAATGTTTCTCTCTCATATTGATATTTCTCTCCCTCTCCCTTCTATTGCCAAAAAAAAAAAAAAAAAAGTGACTGATTTATGAAGAATAGATTGGAGAAGGATAGGCTGGAAGGAGAGAAAAAATCAATTTTATCTGTTTTTCTTTCCCTTCCTCTAACCTTTCATTTCCTTCTCCGTAATTCAACAACTCAATCCATAAGCCATTATCTGGGGCCAGGCTAAGTATTTGCACCAGTAGGTCTTAGGGGAAGTAGGAGGAGTCCACGCTGGAGTGTAGGATGCTGAACAGGATCTGGGTGGCATCAGGATGAATACAGAGCAGTGATTTTTAACCTTTTTCATCTCATGGCACATAAACTAATTACTAAAATTTTGTGGCACACCAAAAAATACATTTTTTGCCAATCTGACCACATAGGTATCGTTTTGATTCATTCACACCAGACAACTGTTGTGTCGGCTGTTGTTACTTTTTTATTTCGCATTCTAAGAGTTGAGTGCCCTTGACTAAGTAGGTATGGCATGTTTCAAAAAGTCTTGTAGCGCACTGGTTGAAAATCATGGAGAGTATTGGGACTCAAGTGGAATGAGAGCATCAGTACAGATGAGCAGCCTGGTGTGAGCTCTCAGGGCCTGAGTGCGGTAAGAGTGGTGTAGACATGCTCAGCAGGGTGTCAGGGCCCAGAGTAAGGTGTCCACTCAAAGGTGTCAGGGCCTGAGCTGGTGAAGAAGGTACCTTTAGGGATGTCCAACATCAGGCCCTGAAGTAGAAGGTAGGACCAGGGTGAGGAGGGCGTCTGTAGAAAGGCAATCTAAAGCAGTATGTTGGATCCAAAGTAGGGCGAGCAGGGCATTCACATGAGGGAAGGGCCAGCAGCAGTGATGGAAGGCTGGCTGTATACAAGGAACTGATCAAATAAAAACATTTAGACTAATGGGAGCCAGATATCTCATTGTTGGAAAATGGAGCTACATATATGGAAAGAGAAAATGAAAAGTAATTCTGGATTAAAATTAGAGGTATCAGTGTGAACTTCCGGTTTTCAATAGAGATAGAAATAAATATATTCTCTCCACCGAGTTAGGGCAGTTTTCTGTCATTTTTTCAAAAAGGCTTTCAGTGTCTTGTTCTACTTCCAGCAACCTCATGATGCAAATGCTGGTACACTTGAAGTTGCCCCACAGTCTGACACTATCCTCCTTTTTTGGATTCTTGTTTCTTGCTGTTCTGATTGTGTGTTGTTTGCTTCCTTATGTTCGAAATCACTGATTTGAATCTCAGCTTCATCCACTCCACTGTTGATTCCCCGTAAGTTGTTCTTCATTTCAATTAGTGTATCCTTCATTTCTGACTGGTTCTTTTTTTATGGTTTCCATGTCTTTTTTTATGATGTTGAAATTCTCTCTGAGTTCACCTGCTCTTCCTCTAAGTTCATTGAGCATACTTATGACCAGTGTTTTGAATTCTGCATCTAGTGGATTGCTTGTCTCCACTTTTTTAGTTCTTTTTCTGGAGTTTTGTTCTGTTCTTTCATTTGGGCTATGTTTCTTTGTCTCCCCATTTTGGCAGCCTCCCTGTGTTTGTTTCTGTGTAATGGGTAGACTTCATGGAAGGAAGCACAGAAAATCCCAAACAAGATGGACACAAAGAGGTCCACAAGACATACCATAATTAAAATCCCAAAGGTTAAAGACAGAAGGAGAATCTTAAAAGCAGCAAGAAAAAAGCAGGTAGTTACCTACAAGGGACTCCCAAAAGACTTCCATCTGATTTCTCAAAAGAAACTTCGGGCTAGAAACGATTGGCAAGAAATATTGTAAGTGATAAAAAGCAAGACCCTCCAACCAAGATTACCCAGTAAGGCAATCATTTACAATTGAAGAAGAAAGAAAGATCTTCCCAGGTAAGAAAAAGCTGAAGGAGTTCATTACCATGAAACCAGTATTGCAACAAATGTTAAACAGACTTCTTTAACAGGAAGAAGACCAAAAATATGAACAATAAAATGGCAATAAATACATATATATCAATAATTGAATATTAAAAAAACAAAGAACAGCCCTGGATGGTGTAGTTCAGTGGATTGAGCATGGGCCTGCAAACCAGAGGATTGCAGTTCAATTCCCAGTCAGGGCACATGCCTGGGTTGCCAGCCAGTCCCCAGCAAGGGACGCACAAGAGGCAACCACACATTGATATTTCTCTCCTTCTCTCCTTCCCTTCCCCTCTAAAGATAAATAAATTTTTAAATAAATAAAATCTTTTTTAAAAAAAGAACAATCAGAACAGAAATACAATCATACATACAGAGAACCCATTGATGGTTGCCAGATGGGAGGGGGTCAGGGTGATGGGTGAGAAAAGTGAGGGGATTAAGAAGTGCAAATTGGTGTTACAGAATAATCATGAGGATATCCAGAACAGCTTAGGGAATATAGTGGTCAAAGAATGTATACACATGACCCATGGACGTGGTCAACAGTGTGGGGATTGCCTGAGGGAGTGGGGCAGGTCTGAGTGAAGGGGGGGCAAAGGGGAAAAATTGGGACAACTAATAGCATATACAATAAAATATAATTAAAAAAAGTAAAAATATACATTCTCTAATTTTGTCTACTGAGAGAACCTGGAGCAATAACACTACATTAGCAATGAACACACTAAACACCTAAATCTGCACTGTGACTTCTACAAGAGGGGGACCCCCCCAAAACCAGAATTTATATAAAACAATTGTGTATTTATTCTTACATGTTCAAACTTCAGTCACCTTCCAAGTACTCTCCATTTGATGCAATACATCTATCGAGACATTTTTTCAACTGCTCAAAACAGTTTTTGAACTCGTTGATTTTGATGCCTTCTAGTGCTTCTGCCATTTTTTTTTTTTTTTTTTCAGTTCTTGCACATTGGCAAAACATTTCCCTTTAGGGACTCTTTTCACCTGGAGGAAACACACACACACAAAAAGTAGCTCAGGGTGAGATAGAGTGAATAAGAAAGGTGGGACATGGAGGGCATGCTATTTTTGGTCAAAAACTGCTGAACACTCAGCACAGTGTTGGCAGATGCACTTGTAAATCACCTGCTGTGAAATGCACAAATGCGTTGAAAGAGTCTTCATCCTGTTCATCAAAGCAAATGACAAAGTCAGCCCAGCTTCCAAGACAGAGGAAATATTCTCCACCTCAAGGAGTGGCATACGTGCACAGGGTACATAATCTTTGTGGATAATCTATCACAAACATGTTAAATTTGAGTGACTTGTTGGACAGTAAAGGTGGAAGTTAAATGCAAGAGTTAGGTGGTCAGTTGCCCTGGCTGGGGTAGCTCAGTGGATTGAGTGCTGGCCTGCAAACCAAAGGTTCACGGTTTGATTCCCAGTCAGGGCACATGCTTGGGTTGCCGGCCAGTTCCCATCAGGGGATGCACAAGAGGCAACCATACACTGATATTTCTCTCCCTCTCTCCTTCCCTTCCCCTCTAAAGATAAATAAATACATTTTTAAAAAACTAAAAAAAAAAAAAAAAAGAGGTGGTCAGGGAAGACTTCTGCACTGGTTATATAAAGATGTGAGTTATTAGTAAAAAATATTTAAAATCATAGGACCTCATTAAATCACGTTGAAATGAAGGACTGATAGAAAAGAGAGGAGAGTCCAGGGCTGAGGCTGAGGCGCTGTCACATTTAGATGTAAGACAAGAAGGCAACAGAGGAAACTGAAAGGACCCTGTGAAATCAGAAAACTAAAGTGTATGATCTAGTGAAAGGCAAGGTGGAAAAAGTGTTCCAAGATGGAGGTCTTTCTTGTCAAAAGGTCAAGTCAGAAGTGGCCCTTGGGCCCTGACCAGCGTGGTTAATTTGGATAGGTGTCATTCCCTGCAAAGCTAAGGTAAGCATTTTGATTTCCAGTCAGGGCACATGCCTGGGTTGCAGGTTCGGTCCCCAGTCAGGGCACGTATGAGAGGCAACCAATTGATGTCTCTCTCCTCTTTCTTCCTCACTTCCCCTCTCTGTAAAAATAAATAATTTTTAAGTGGCTTTTGAACTTGGTTACATGGAGGCTGCTGGTGACTGATAACAGGGACTTGCATTACTCAAACTGGGTAACCAACCCCAGAGGCACTCAACAGTGGGCCAGTTTGAAAAGCCACAGAATAAAGGTGGTCTATTACAATAAAAGAGCTGCATTAGGGACTAATATATAACATCGCATACATTTTCAAGATACTATATTCCCCAAAAATGCTATGCTCATGGGGTTTTGGATCACACTGTATCAGTATCACCTCTGGAAGGACTGAGAATGAGTTCAGCCACATGGGAATCAACAATGTGTACATAACCTCTCCCCATTAAAATCTCTGGATATCAAGGCTCAGGCGCGCCTCCCTAGATGGCAATGCTCCATGCATATGGTCACATACTTTTGCCACAAGAAGTTAGTACTGTCTGCAGTTCCACTGGGAGATGCCAACTGGTCGCTCTGCGTGTGGAAGTCCCTGTAACTCTGCCCCATGTACCTCTTCCCTTGACCAATTTTAATCTGTATTCTTTTACTAAAATAAACTGTAGACATGAGTAAAACAACTTTCAGTGAATTCTGTGAGTCCTACCAAACTATCAAATCTGAGGTTGGTTTGAGGGACCACAAACTTGCAGTCAGTAAGGATGCAGAAGTAAGGATGGACCCCAAACTTTGCACCTTGGGACCATCATTTTTCTCTATCAACATACATACTTGGATGAAAACAACATCTGAGAAACATTCATCTATACCTACACCCTCATAAATTATAACCTGCAATATTTATTGACCATCTATTCAGCGGCAGGCACTGAGCTGAGTACTAGGGATATGTAAGTGAACAATGCATAATCCATCTCCTCCTCCCTAGGAGCTCAGACACTGCTACAGGACTGCAGAAGAGAAGTGAATGAGACCAGTTCTCTGCCTTATGGAGAGGAGTGTGTGGTGTAAATGTGCAGGCATCCTTTAGTGGGGTCTGTAAATGTTTACACGGATACCAACTTTATCACTTTCACTTGGGTATTGTTCCCTCTTAATTCACAAGGAGTAGTTAAGGATTTTTAGTTTCCCTGATGAGTAGGGACATGGTTATGTCATTTACTAAATGCAGAAGCCAGTTATATGGAAAGACAAGTTACTCATCCTATAAGTGGATGTTTGAGACCCCAGCAGGATGTCCATATGTCAAGTTTAAGAGGCCAGTGGAGGTTCTGTCCAGAGCTTGGAATGGAAAGATTGGGGCTGTAGGCCCAGATTTGGGAGTCAAAAGTGTAAGGTAGTTAATGCCATAAAAAGGGATGGGCTGACTTGCAACTCTGTACCCTGTAGAAAAATGTAAGTATTGCTGAAAGACGGTATACTATGTAGGGAAATACCAACATTTAAGGGCCATACAGAGCAAAGCAGGCATGAAAGAAAGCGGCAATGAGAAGCCAGAGAGTTTGCATGACCCCAGCGTGGTGGGATGTAATCCGGTAGGAGGTTCATCAAAGAGAGGTTGCTCAGAGAAGCTGGAATGAGGTCAACTAGGAAAGGACTCAGTCTGTGCCGTGATGAGTCCACCACCTACAGATGTCTTCCAAGACGACTGAGGAAAGCACATTGTTTTTTGTTTGTTTGTTTGTTTTCTATTTTGAAAATGAGATGCAGCAGGATCAGAAAGAAATCCTGGTTTTCTCTGGGCAAGAGCTAAAGTGAGATGGCAGTGAAAAAACAACGTTCTTGGCTTTCCTGTGCCTTTAATAATTTCTTATTGAATGCTAAAGTTCAATAGGAGGACCTGTTTCTTCAGTGCACCTCAGACAGGAATGAGCAAAAGAAGCCCCCCCCCCCCCCCCCCCCCCCCCGCTTCAATATGCGCAGCCTCAGAGCTTCCGCCCGGGCAAGGGCGGGGAGCAGTAGCGCAGCAGAGCCGCCAGGGGACGCAGTCTCCCAGATTATGTGCGAGTCGCGGGGCGGGGCCAACAAGGGGCCGGACTTGAAACAGCTTCCGGCTTCCGGTGTAGCCCTCAGTCTTCGTGCATCGCGGTCATGGCAGCGGAGGAGAAGGACCCCCTGAGCTATTTCGCAGCTTACGGGAGCAGCAGCTCAGGCTCCTCGGACGAGGAGGATAACAGCGAGCCGGAGGAAACGAGTCGCAGAGCTCCGGATCCGGCGAAGTCGGCGGGCGTATGTGGGAAAAAGACGGAAAAGCGGCTGCCTGGACCCGACGAACTGTTCCGGAGCGTGACTCGTCCAGCCTTTCTCTACAACCCTCTCAACAAACAGATAGACTGGGAGAGACACGTCGTCAAGGCGCCTGAGGAGGTGAGGTCCCCGACCCGGGTTCTGGATCTCGGTCCCGGCCTCCGCCCCCTCCCACCTGAGTCGCATCCTGGGGACCGGAAGTCCGTTCCAATACACGCAGTCACCCCCTGCGGGAAGCTGCATCAGCCCCTTCCACATCCAGCCCTGGGAAGCCCGGCCCCCCTCCCCCCTTGGTGGGTGTCAGATCTGACCCGCAGCCCCCGCCCACTCGTGAGGAGACCCAAACCTCCGCGCTCGGTGCCCCGACCTGCGTGGTCAGGACTAACGGTGGTGACTCCCCCCGCCCCCCCGCTGCAGCTTCTCCCTGAGACCCCTTCCCTTTGACGCCGAAGTGCCTGCGGTGCTGCCTCCAAGACAGTGTCTGCTGCAGCCTCCTGAAGGGGTCAGCCTTGGCGTAGTATCTCTGAGACTGGATTCTTCTTTGGTAACTAAAAGTTATTAGCTTTATTCATATAGGGAACCCTTTGGCTTTTCACTTAACAATATTGTGATTTTGATGGAAAAAAATGTATCTTTAAACTTAAAAGAAAAGTCATCCTGAACAATAATCGAACGGCAGGGAGGTGCATGTGCCCATACCGATTATAGGAACCTCGGTTCGTCACAGTGTTTCTTAATGTGTTTGCTTAACAGCCGCCAAAGGAATTCAAAGTCTGGAAGTCAAATTATGTTCCACCTCCAGAGACGTACACTACTGAGAAGAAACCTCCTCCTCCAGAGCTGGATATGGCAATAAAATGGTCTAACATATATGAGGACAATGGTGATGATGCCCCACAGAACGTTAAGAAAGCTAGGCTTCTCCCAGAAGGGGAGGAGACGGTGGAATCAGGTAAGAAGAGTCAGACCTTTTGGTCCCTGTGATGCGTTTAAGAAGATCGTGATAATGAGTGAAATTTAAATCTAGCAAGTTAGATTGATTACGATGGTCTTGGAATACTTTTTACTGCGTTTTTGAAAGAAATAGTATATAGTCAGCTTTAAAACTTATGTCTCAACCAGTAGTAGTTGCTGTGTTTTAGAGAAAGATCATAAATTATTCAGGCTTCAAAGTGAAACCTCTGATAGTTCAACCAGTAGTATATGTGATTTATGAACAGTACGAGTTCATTTATGTATTCTTTTCTTGTGACCGCAGCTGTGAAGGCTTTATTTTACAATAAAGCAGTTGTGTTTTAGAGTCAAAAGTAGTGTGACAAAATGAATTTAACTGAATATTACTATGCAGTAATTAAAAATAGCAATAGAAAAAAGTAATGATTTAGTTGTCTTGCCTTCGTTTGTAGTATAATTTTATCTCTTACTTGGACTATAAGTAATCACAGCAATCTCTGCTTCTGCAGTTTTACCCCCCAATTCCATCCTTCACACTGTGGCTAATGTTCATTTTCTAAAAATCATCCATGATTATGTAACCCACCTGCTTTAACATCTTTCATCAACAGCATAGAGTCAGAGCCTTCCGTGATGTTCTGCCTTTCTCTCCACCCTCATTTCACATGGCCTTCTTTCTAACACTTTAAGATCTTAAAATTCAAAACTGAATAGACCATGTTATTTTATACTTCCATGCCTTTAGTGTATCTTGCACCTTAGTGTGGAACATTCTTCCCTTCCTCTTTGGCTGGTAAACTCCCTTATCCTTCAAAATCCAACTCAAAGAGGAAAATCTCAGATCCACCTCCCTCTAATTTCCTTCTCTGTTCCATTTTTGTTAAACAGATTTCTGATCTTTTTCCCACAATACAAGGGCAACCTACTGAACTTTAGCTTCTTTTGCAACCACACAGTGTTTTGTTTGTTTAGAGAAAGGGTAACTAACTAACTGGTAGTTCTTATTCCAAATGGCTTTTTCATTTCTTTCATTTATTTCCCAAGGTGGATTAGAAATTACTAATTAAGGCACATCTTCAGTAAATGGCATCTTTTTGAAGGTGCCAAACAAAGGGGGCATTTATAATACCTCATATCATATGGTACTTTATATAATTGGTTAAAGACACTTTCACATAACTACTCTTTAATTCTTGCAGCACCTTGTGAAAAACAGGGAAATGTGAAAATGAGAACTTGTGTGACTTGTCCAACATCACAGAATGGCAAACTCTAAGATAGGTACCTTTACAAATTCAGGTCCTTAAATGGGACTGATGCATTATTAAACTGGAATTTGTCTCTTTCTGTTTTTCTAGCTAGAGCACTTGAGAAATACTCTGTAGGAAGAATGGCACTAAAGCCACTAGAGTTGATATTCTAACTAGGATGTCATAGGCAGCTGCAGCCCTTTGTTCCTCTATGGAAAAGGCGAGGATTGTATATCCAGGACAGACAGTAGAGAGTTATCTTTCTCCACCCACCCCGCCCCCAGCTTGCCTATTGAGTTCAGATAGAAGGAATTCCAAATATGTGGCAAACAGTACTGCTGTTGCCATAGATGATTTCTGACCTTTGATCACAGGGTAGTCCTCTATCAGAAGGTGAATGTTGGCGACATTAAAAAAACAAAAGGACCAGTTTAAAGCTAGATTACAAGGTTAAAAGATAATCCTTAAATCTTAAATTTTAACTTTAATATTGGTATTGAATATAACTATCTTCTTTCTGTGACACATGTCTTTACAAAAATTTTTTTTGCTATCTCAGAGTCCTGTGCCACTGGTTTATTTGATCTCTATGCTGTATTACTTGTAGAGCATATATTTTCATGTATACATAACAACCTACTGATTAAAACATTGGTTTGTAAATTCCTGGGATGATTTTCCTGACATAATTTTTTACCTTTTTTTTAAATTCATAAATTATCTTGTATTAGAAACTCCAAACTCTTTAAGTTATCTAAGTTTTTAAATTATCCAATTACTTTTCCACTGCATTTTTGCCCTTTTTTGTAAGTTAACTTCTTTCAGATATTTTAAAAGAGAAGCTGGGAAAGATTCAAGACTGATCATTGAGTCTTGCTACTTATTACCACCTATTGTTTAGTGGTTGTAAAATGTAGACCAGTGAGCCCTGGCTGGTATGGCTCAGTGGATTCAGCACCAGCCTGCAATCCGGTTTGATTCCCACTCAGGGCACACGCCGCCTGGGTTGTGGGCCAGGTACCCCTGGTGGGGAGCGCGTGAGAGGCAACTGCACATTGATGTTCCTCTCTTTCTACCTCCCTTTCTCTCTCTCAAAAAATTAGTAAATAAAATCTTTAAAAGTAAATGTAGATCAGTGAGCCTGACTTTAATTGTAGCTTTACTAACATGTAATTAATCATGAAAGCTTAGCTAAAGTAGTGAATGCTCTTTTTTAATTTAGAAGATTAATAATTTTAACTTATGTATGTCTAGTGACATGGATTCCATAATAGAAGGATTATTTTCTTGCTGGTGTATCTGTAGTATATGGCACAGAGTAGTAAAGTGGGGAGTGAACATTTCAGGGTTTTGGAGGGTGGTTTTTTTGTTTGTTTTTTTTCCCCTGTTCTGGTGCTCAAGGCAATGCCTTGTAATGTCACTAGATGGCATTAGCTGTTCGGTTCAGATAACTTGATAAGAACCTGTTTTTCCAACCTCAGTAGTTTGTTTTTGTTTTTTTGTTGTTGTTCAGTAAATATACTTGTAACAAGTGGTAGATTAAAAGCAGAAGTGTCTTAAGATCATCTTTAAAATAGACATTAACAGTAGATTTTCTAGAAGAGTTAGAAAGTAATATTTTTATTTTTTCACTTAATTTTTGTTATATTTTTTCCCATTATCATTTAGAACCCTTATGCTCCCTCCCCCAAGTAATCCTCACACTGTTGTCCATGTCTCCTCTCTCCTTTTTTCTCAATTCCTGCGCCCCTTACCTCCCTGCTCCCAGAGCTGTCGGCATACTCGCCGAGTCTGTCTTCATTTTCCTTGTTAGTTCAGTTTGTTCATTACAATCCACATATGAGTGAAATTATATGGTAGTTGTCTTTCTTTGACTAGCTTATTTCAACTTAGCATGATGTTTTCCAGGTCCATCCATGCCATTGCAAAGGGTAAGATTTCTTCTTTTTAACGGTCTAGTAGAATTCCATTGTGTAAATGTCCCATAGTTGTTTTATCCACTCATCTACTGATGGACACTTGGGTTGCTTCCATATCTTAATGATTGTAAATAATGCTGCAGTGAACATACGGATGTTTATGTTCCTTTGAATTGGTGTTTTGGGTTCCTTCGGATACAATCCCAGAAGTGGAATCACTGGGTCAAAAGGCAGTTCCATTTTTAATTTTTTGAGGTATCTCCATATTGCTTTCCACCTGGCTGCACCCGTCTGCATTAAAAGTAATTTTAATCTTTATATGTCTGAAAATAATCTCCAAACCCAAACTGGATGATATTAAACTCCAATTAGAAAGCAAAGCCCTTGGTTTATTTGAGCTGTATGCTGTATTAGTTGTAGAGCATGTATTTTCATGTATACATAACAAACTACTGATTAAAACGTTGGTTTGTAAGTTTCTGGGATGATTTGTTGATGTGAATTGTATTTTATTGTGCTGTCTACATAAATAAATAGTGCTTTATGAAATGCATGAATAACATCTCCGTGATGTGTTGGAAGATGAATGAAGATGAATCACCTGCTCTTGATACTAATTATTGTCCATCTCAACAAAGGAGATATAGTTAGCAGTAGGAAATTGAAGGCTTAAGGCTTTAAATATATTTCCTGTATAGTTTATGATCTTATGTCAGTGGCTTCCCAAATTTTTTAATATGAAGGATTCTTTCAACATCAGAATATTTTGTTTATAGATTATCACATGATAGTCGAACTAGGAGTATCTGTTGATTGAGAGAATAAAGTCCGAAATACAATGAATTCAGTAACGTGCTTAAAATAATTTTTTATGAGTCATGACATCTTCTGCAAGTTACTTATTACATCTATATGGAAGTCTAAAAATAAAGCCACGTATTTGTTTCCAGAAATTGAAAATTAGCAGCCGGTCTATAGTACCCGGTGTTTTATTAAAATGTGTACTTGGATATTTTAAATTGAATAAAAGGGTCCACCTTTTCATTTTTTACAATATTTATTTTGGACATTTTCTGTGGCTACAGACAATAATATTTTTGAAAAGTTTTAAAGGTCATGGTTTTAATATAAGGGTTCTTCTCCATCTTCCCTTTTCAAAATTCTTCTCAATATGGTAGAGAAGATGCCTACTCTTCTGTTACCACTGGAATATCCTCACCCTCCCAGGAATGGGAGAGTGAGGGAGGGGAGGCAGAACTAACTGTATAGGACAAAACCGAAAATACAGTTCTGTAAACTACCTACTTGTGAGTGATTTATTTTTTGTACTGCAGAATGTGAGGGGTCAAGGAGTAAGATGAAGAGGGTAGTTGTTCGGCTGGGAGAGAAAGCAAATTGGACAGGAAAGATTATAGCTGGCAGCCACTTCAGTAATGTGGTTAAATTGATAGCTTTTTTTGTTGTTGAAAAATAGACAGTGTGTTCCATTTGTAGAAAGTGTAGGTTATCTATTTAAGTATCCATAATGTGTACACTGTAGGGTACATGAGAATAGCTTTTTCAAAACAAATTTGATTTTATTTTAAGCTACCTCAATATAGCACTAAAAGGGTCTGTGAATTTTGTATTACACAATTGGAAAAAATTCCTTATTTTTACTTGCACTTTAAAATCAGTTCTAAAAATTAACTTTTGGTTTTTACTGGGAAACTTTGAAAGAAACATTAGTATTCTAATGCCCAAGTTTTTTTAAATTACTGATTGAAATTCTTCCTTTTCTGTTTAAAGATGAAGAAAAAGATGAGCATACTTCTAAAAAGCGCAGAGTAGAACCAGGAGAACCAACGAAGAAGAAAAAATAGAAAACAACAAATAACAAGAAATTTTGGACTGCAAATCTTATCAGAATGGTTTTTTGGCAGTTAATATTGTAAATTACTATGAAACATCATCTTCATGAAAGTACGTGGATAAACTAATAAGTATTGCTGCAGGAACTTTCCACTGTAGAATTCACTTTTTATTTAAAATTTATATGTATTTAAAACTCAAATGGTGACTTGTGATTGTGAAGTTGACAACACTTGGAAGCATTCTTGTCACAAAATCGGTGACATGCTTTGAGAGTTCTGTCACATGTTGACATGCCAGTGTTCTAGGAACCTTTTATAAAGGAATGTATTTTTAAAGTAAATATATTGTATCATACTGTGAACTTGTAGGGTGCTTTTCAACAGTGTTTGTACAGTGTAAATAGATCATGGAAATAAAAGTACTTCTTCAATATTACTGTTACTGCATAACATTAACATTTGAGGATCTGTGACAGACACCCTGTTTGCCATGTGATGTTATAGTAGCTATTACCGTTTAGGGAGTGCTTCCTGTGTCCGGGTGCTTCGTGCGTACTTCTCTGTGACCCGCAAGCAGCCTAGTAAAGTATGTATCAGTAGCCTCGTCTTATAATGAAGAGTGATTAATTTATGCAAGGTTACATAGCTAGTGAGCAGTGAATTTGGGATTCAACGCATGATACTTGAACTCTAAAATCATTACACTAAACCACCTATCCACCAATCAAAATTTAGGAACTGCAATTGGTGGCTCTTCCAGGTACTCTTTTGTGGTAGTTACGGAGATCCTCTCCTCAGGTGGATGTGTTACTGCACTTATCATACACATACACTTTATATTATGAAAATTTGTCAGTTTCCCTGTTAAATAGTAAGTTTGCTGAAGATAAGAATCGTCGACAAAGAGTTGCCAGATGTCTCAAATAAAAATACAGGACATACAGTTAAATTTGAATTTTAGATAAACATCAAGTAATGTTTTAGTAGAGGTAATATTTAGGACCTATTTCTACTAAAAATATATCAAAAATTAAAATTTAACTGGGCATCCGGTATTTTTATCTGCCAAGCCTACTTCTATGTGTTTGCTACCCAGCTCCACTTTTAATGCTTTGCATATAGTAATCAAGAAAATCAACAAGGTTGTAGTCAGGAAGATAATCTTTGATTTGACATCTACAGTCCAAAATGCAGTGCTAGTATTTGTGACATTTCGAACAATAAAAAGAAATACACTACATCAGTCTTCTGTGATCATTACGCCTTGAAGAAGAAACAAGTGTTAATTACGAGACCCTGTACATTTAGTGTATGAGAAAAAGACTTTAGTTTTTGAGTTTTAAAAATTCCCTGGTCCAGTTGTTTCCCCCATACTGGAAGCCAACATTTGAAAAACTATACAGTTTGTTTAGCTGGGAACATGATCAAGTAGATGAAAGTTTTTAAGTCTTTAAAAATAGGCCAGCAGTGATGTTTTGTGGGATAAGGAAGGAACACAACAATATGATGGTTGCTAGTATATCTCAAAATTACAAAAACCAGTTTTACAGCTGCTTATCCTCTAGGTTTACAAATGTATGAATCCCCAGGCTGAAGAAATTAATAAAGCAAGAAAATGTTTAAGGTTGAAGTCTTTATATGTGAGTAATTTTGAGGGCTATCCTATCGTATACTGAGTGTCATCAACTGATAACGCATGACCCCAATGTGACACCAAATTAAATTAACAGATGGAATAATTATGAGGCGAAATCTATGGTCTGGATGCATGTATTAGTAGAGCAGATAGAATGTACTGGAGTGTTACAAGATGAAAACATTAGCATGAAAGCAAACCATAACCTCCACAAGAAAAAAAGGCCCAGCAAGCCACTGTCTGGAAATTTTTTTAACCTCTGTTCAACTCCCAACTTATACCCATTAGTTTTAAGACAGAGAACCACAGGTCACTACATCAGTCCCCAGTGGTGCTTAGAGCCTCCTTTCTAGAAGGTAACAGAATGGAGGGGAAACACTTTGTGGAGGGGTTGCATGTCCTGATATTCTACTCAGACAGGGCAGGTAGTGGCTACACTTGTGAGACTATTAAGCAACTGCCTGGAGTTGTGCACCTATGAAATACAAGTCAAGTACTAATTTGGGGGGGAGAACTGAGGGTTTAAGGAAGGAGGCTAAGTATTTTGGAGCAGTCTCAGCCATTTGTATCTTGAGTTTCTTTTCAAAATATGGCCAATGAGTGAAAGAAATTTGTTTATGGATTGCTTCACCTTGCATAGAAACATCTCTGGAAAGTGGACTATGTCACTTTCTACATTTGTCACCATGTTAGAGAATGGATTCTTTTCCCCTTCACAGGTGTCTTGGGCACATGTTTGTTTAGGTGTCTACATGGGTACTGAGGTAAGGGACTGTTTGGTTCAGCTACTGAAAATCCAGTGAAGAATCTTATAAAAACCCATATAGATGAAGAAAATCCTCTTATCCAATCGCTTAGTATTTCTGATTGTTTTATCATCTTTACGATAAGGAAGTTGTGTCAGTCATGAAGGACTTTCTTTTGTGTAAGGATAAAATTTGAGAAAATAAGCATTTAAAGTGTAAATAGTCTTATAGGGTTTTGTGGAAAACATTCTAATTGGACTCAGAGAGCATTGTTGAGAAAATTGGGACTGCTTTTTAGCCATTAAAATACTAGTACCAACTTATTTGCAAACTTGAAACTTACAGAGCTTAATGTTGTATGGTGCTTTTGAGTTCACAGAGTTCAGTCCCATAGTATTTTTCAAAAACCGAATGAGGTAAGCTTTAATTATTTCCAGATGAAAGAATGGATAATTAAAATATGAATGACTAGTGCAGGTTTGGAAATGACCTACATATAAGAAAACATTGTGGTATATGATTTAGATACAAAGCCCTACCAGAGATACTTGAAAAATATGATTTTTACAGGTATCTGAATGATCTTAGCAACTCAATTCAATAAATCAAAACTGACCAATTTAAATCCACAATTGGACTTGAAGGAGTCATGGTGGTGGTATTTTGGATTTTAGAGTCTTGTATCCATACAGAACTGCTCCCATTTTAACCCTCCGTGATCACTTAGTACAGAAGCTCCAAACAGTCCTACAAAGAGGTGTTTAATTCCCAGCAAGTGTTTTGGACTCCATTAAATTCCAAAGTTTTCTCTCTTAATCTCTTTCTACTTAGCTTTCCCAATTTGAAGCATTGTATTTGCATTTTAATGTGGGAGGTGTGGGGAGAGGAGCTACTAAGAAACATTTGTATGTACAACCCCCAGAGGTGGGGCTTTTTGCCTGCTTTGTGCATTGACAAGAACAATGCCCGGCACATAGTAGGCACTCAAAATGACTGCTGCATTCACAGGAAGCTGAATTCCTCACCTCAGGCTTAGGGGTGATCCAGCAAAGGTTTGTGTTTTCAGTTACATGGGCCAATAAATCTTGACAATTTAAACCAGTTTGAGTTAAGTTTTCATCATTTTTGGTTAAAAACATCCCAATTGATAGGAAACTTTTGCTGCTTTGGTTCCTTCCAGGATCCCATGCTATTCTGATTCGCTTCTCTGTTTTCTCTGGCTCCTTCTCTTGCAACTGGCCTTGAACGCCAATGTAGCTTATGTTGTTGCCTTGTCATTCTCCACACTGGTTAGTTTATATTTTTCTATTTTTGTTTTACGAGGGAGAGAAACATAGGCCCTGCCTGATGCGGCTCAGAGGATTGAGTGCCAGCCTGTGAACCGAGGGGTTACCGGTTGGATTCCCGATCGGGGCACATGCTGGGGTCACAAGTGAGAGGCAACCACACATGGATGTTTCCCTCTCTTTCTCACTCCCTTCCCCCTCTAAAAATAAATAAATATAATCTTTAAAAAATAGAGAGAGAGAGAGTGAAACATTGATTTGTTCCACTTATGCATCTATTAGTTGATTCCTGTATGTTGAGGATTGAACCTGCAACCTTGGTGTATTGGGAGGATGTTCTGATTCACTCAGCCACCCAAGCGAGGGCCACACTGGTTCTTGATTCCAGCCAAGTTTCAGCCCCAGATTTGCATGTCCAATTGTCTGTTTTCCCTTGGGTCTCAAAGTCCCCTCAACATTCTAGATGTCCAAAACCAAACACATTGTGTCAAAACCCCTGTCACCTCCATACTTCATTTCTGGTTAACGGCATCACCACCAACCTAGAAATTTGCCCTCTGCCTCACTTCCCATCACGTAGGTTTGATCCATAAGCCCTGGAGCGTCTCTCGTATTCTCATGGACCTCTTAATCCAGCTCTAATGAATTGTTTACAATTCCGCAGACGTGCTATTAGTGTCATAGTTCTGTGCCTTCTCGTACAATTTGCTCGGCCCAGCCCTTCACTTTACTTAGTGAATCCCCCTTTTATCCTCCAAGAAGCAGTTCAGACTTTGCCCCCTTTATGTACTTCGTTCTCTTATCTCTGGACCTGGACCTTTCTTTTCGCCATGCTCAGTGCTAAACAGATAGCCAACAATTACTGAGTACTTACCATGTGCCAGGCTCGTTCTTGGCGCTGTACGTGTGTTAACTCATTTAATTAAATGAGGTAACGTGCTATTAGTAGGCCTACTTCCTGGAAGCAAACTAAGACGCAGAGAAGTTAAGTGATTTGCTCAAGGTGCTAGAGCTGGAAGGTGCAGGCTTTCTGGCTCCAGGCCCCATGGGTTTCCTCACTGCACTGGAGGGGAGGAAGAAGGGCCCAAATGAGCCGGTAGACCGATTTGTTAATTCTTGTGTTTCGTTCAAAGGCTGACTTACCCCTAGAAGGTGCTCAGAATACAAATATTTGATAATTAGTGAATCCAAAACCAGTTCACCAGAGGTGCAGCATTTGTTGAATACACCAGAAACATTTTTCAGATAGATTAGGGTTGGTGTGAAAGGAAAGTCAATAAGTAAGTGTTTTCAGAGGATTTAATGCACATTTCAATAACTTAGTTGCTTATTTATCACATATTTGGAGTATTTCTATTTGAAAGCCTTAAAGCAACAGGGCTGAAAATATATCCCTGGCCCTCCAAAAATATATTTTAGCTTTTCAATTGTATTTTTTTAAGTCTACCTTTTTTAAGCCAATAATGAGATAGCTTTAAGCCACAAATTTTGCTTCAAATTTCCTTGGCTTTTCTCTAACATTTCAAATTATGGCTTGGGTTTAAAATCACAGCACTAGGGCATGGGAAGTCCTTCAGAGGTTCCCTGGGTACGGCCTTCCCGTAGCTTAGGAATGTCATCTTCTCTGTGATCTTTGCCTCTCTTTTCTAGGCTCGCAGACAAGCCGGTGAAATGACGGGTTTATGGGCTGGATTTGAAAGGTCGTTTCCTGTATGTCTGTGATATTTTGGTACCCAGGGTATGGGCTTCCTGTTTCTTTCCCGGTGTTTACCATTTTCTGAAAAAGAAAAAACAGGAGTTTGGCGTATATCATTGAAGTAAAGTGCAGCTCTTGTCCTGGTGTAATTACCTGTCTTTGCTTCTAAATGGGACCAAATTCTAGCAGCCTTCCAAGAACACTGGGGAATCTGCATTAACGTTTTAAATTTAGAATTTCTGAGAGAAAGAAACTGCGGGGAAAAACAATGACTTCCAACTAAGGAGGTGACTTGTCTGCCAGCAAAGCTGTAAGGAAGTCAACTCAGACATGACTCCTCTGAGGACTGCACACCAGAGGGACTTTAAGACACTGGTGCTAGTTTTTGCTGTTTCTCGGTTTGGACACACACACACACACACACACACACACACACACATCTCCTGAGGTTTTAGTAGTCGACAGAAATTTCCTCTCCTCTTTTTACCATGTTTTGCCTCCTGGCCTTCCCCTCCAATCCTCTCCTTAATTACAAAAAGTGGCCGGAAAGCCTTAACAGTAAAATGTCTTCCATAACATATGGAAACCATATGTCAAATCTGCAAGGCATGAACTCTTGATTTCTTTTTTCTTTTAATTGAGGCCTAATAACTTGAGCTCTGAGTACCCGCTACCGCTGCCTCCCTCCTTACCAAACTAATCAGGGTAATTACCTGAGCCGTCCACAGCTACAGGTCTGTTGAGGCCTGTTATTGAGGTTAACAAATGAGAGGGTTAATTTCTCTAGAATGTTCCATAGTTGGGGAAGAAAGATAATAAACCCTTACAAAGTAGGTTGCTTTTGAGTTTTCAAGCTTTTGTCTACACCAAGCTGCC